GGCACTTTGCCACGGGGGAGGGCTCCCATGTCTGCAACGACTGCCCCGCCGGCACCTATGCTGCTGAGCAAGGCAGCGCCACGTGCCGGCCCTGCGGCGGAGGCCAGGTCACGGCAGCACCGGGCGGCGTCGGCGCCACCGCCTGCGTGCCATGCGCCACCGGCACCTACAAGCCGCCCGGGGCGACCGACAACCGCTGCCGCAGGCGTGTGGGTGTGGGGTGTGGGCTGGGGGGCACAGGACGCTAGGGGTGGGCCTGCCAGCCCGCCGCCGGCAGCCGGCCCGCTGCGGGGCGGCTGCCACGGCTGCAGAGCCCACGCATGGGCGAGTTCGCCAGGTGTCTCCTGCTCTCCCTGAAGGCATGACCCTGTGCATGCATGTGTTCCCTGTGCCCCGCCCCGCACCCGCCCTCTGCAGCTGCCCCGCGGGCTACGAGACGCGTCTGGAGGGCGCTGGGGCGGCCGAGTGCTCCCCGTGCGCAGCGGGCTTCTTCGCCACCGCCCCCAACACTCCCTTCTGCGCCAAGTGCGAGCCGGGCACCTTTGCCAACTCCACAGGTGGGCGGGGTGGGAGGCAGGGGGGCAGGCTGGGCAGGAGCAGTGTGAAAAAGTGTGAGCAGGTGTGAGCAGGTGTGGGGGCTGATGGGTCAGGCTGTGCCGCACCCTCCCTACCCGGCTTGCTGCCCGGTCTGCCTGGCTGACCTGATGATGCTGACATGCACACATAAAACATTGCAAAGAGCAATTCATTCATTCATTCAGCACACAGACCGGCCGCCTCTTGCTCGAGGGCGGCCCACTTTGGCCTGGGCAGCCCGGGCCGCCCTCCCCCCCGGGCGCATGTTCGGTGTTGGAGGGGTGTGCCCAGCGATAGGGGGGCCCTGAAGGCATGCGCCGAGGCCGGGAAGCGTGGTTCGGCGCTGCTGCACGCTTGGCGATTTGAACAGAACCACGTGCCGCCGAGCTGCGGCCGCAGTTTCCGGCCCACGGTCTACGGTCGCAGCCACGGGACTCGGCGGCACGGCGTTTGGGCCCAAGCTTGCTGCCGCCGCCGCCGCCGTGCCCGGGGGGCAGCGCGGCGGCGGCGGCACGCTGCGACGCCCCCGTGCTGCCGAGCTGCGGCCGTAGTTTCCTGCCAGAAGGC